AAAATGCTTTTAAGTCTTTACACACTTACAAATCTTCATTTCCGATAAATTATGTCTTAGAACGCATTATTTAGCTACATTTTTTCTCAAGAAAGCTTAATGTAGCATTAAGAGTTTACGAGTTATCAACGATTTCTGCCAAGGTGACATTCGGCTAATATCTCCCGCATGGGTGGGAGACTTGACCCCTCGAGTAGGGAGCCTTTACCCTCCACTTTAGGATTAGGCAAAATAATCATTACACATTGTAAATCTATAAATTTAATTAAAAAAATATGGCACATAGTATTACCTGAACCTACTCCATCTTTCACATAACTAGGTAACAAACCTTATAAGTAGTTAAAGCTTAAAAGTAGGTAATACAAATTATTTTTTGGTATGGAATCTTGTACGTTGTCGGCAAAATAAAAATTAGAGTTATTCTCAAAATTAAGAACAAAAATAAAATAATACATAACAAGATAACAAAATCTACTTATAAAATAGTCATACTCTCCATTAGAAACAGGAAGTCAACCTTATAAGTAGTTTAAACTTAAAAACCTTGTATGTTGTCAGTAAAACAAAAATTAAAATAACTCTCAAAATTAAGAGCAAAGATAATAACAACCTTCATCAGTCTTACTTTTTTTAATTGGAGCAATTGGGACAAATAAACTGCTCCTTATCGTCTTTGGATAGTCCAACACACATTTCATGGACATATTTGCCACAAACAGCACAAAGTCTCATGTCCATAACTTTGTCTTCCCCACAGATGAAACAAAACCAATTATCAGTAACATCTGGTACTTCATCCCAGGGACTATCAGAACTATCATCATACTTGGGGTCTGTCTCACTGTCACTTGACTGTAAAACTTGTCTTTTTACTGTCTTTTTCTTTGCTTTGCCTGTTTGCCTTTTCGTAGTTATTTTAATTTTCTTATTTTTCGGTGCATACTTATCATCTTGGTCTAGTTTTTCTGGCGTTTTTGTTAAAATTTTAGTTTTTCCGGGTTGTCTACCACGACGAAGACTTTTTCTAGAAGTAGCTTTTGGAAATGGTCGAATTGTTTGTGGTAAAACTATTTTTGGTGTGTGTCCGGAATCAGAATCTATCGTTGTCATATCCAGAACATTAGATGTAGAAGCTATCTCTGCTGATCGTCTTGGTATTGTATTTGCTTGCTTGGATTCTTCCGCAGTCAAAATTGATGGTGAATTGATTCTAGGAGCTGCAGTTTCATTCGTGAATACTGATGCTGATGTTGAAGGCTCTGACTGACGTACAGTAGATGTTGAAGGTAATGCGACCGTGGTTGAATCTGATGGTACTTTTGCAGCGACCGAGGGTGAAGTAATCGAAGAAACATCTTGCTTTTGGAGTTCACTAGTCATTTCTCTATCTGTTACCGCAGAGCATAAAAAGTCGTCATCTGTAAAGATGTCCGGGTTATAGTGTATCCCAGTTGATCGAAATCCACTCAAAATATTGGATAGACTAAAAGCCTGCGACATGATTGTGTTTACAAATCCAGGTATATTGTAGATCGTAACAGTTCGTCCTGGGTTACTGATCATCCAGTTATTCATGGCTGAATTATATCTAGTCTTGAAAGATGAATAGGCGGAAACATCTAATGGCTGTAGCTTTCTGCTGCAGTGGGGGGGTATAGTCAGCAAAGTGACTCCATTTGATTTTGCATATTTAACGACTTCAACACTGATATGACTTTCGTGGTTGTCGAGGATAAGCAGGACTCGGTTATTAAGAGATGCGTTCGAATATTTCACAAAATGCTCCATGAATTTTACGAAACTCTTGGTTGTCATCCATCCACTAGGATAGGAGTCACCATGTGAGCCTGGAGGCCCACCAGCTACAAAGCATTCGTTGTATCTAACCCTAGGGAAAATGAAAAATGGAGGAAGAACATTTCCCAGAGCGTTCACAGCGAAGCAAACGGTCACAAGGCTGCCGCGTTCAGCTGAAGTAACTTGTCCTACTTGACGCATATGCTTGCTCGCTATTACTTTGGGACACTCTTGTACAGTCGTACACCCTGTTTCATCACAGTTATAGATGTTATGTGCTTCAAATTGGTATTTTTCTCTAACTTCTTTGAGGTTCTCGAAGAAATCAGTAACGTTTTTTCTATTGAAGCTGGTTGATCTGGATAAACTGGTGGCTTCTGGGGTTCTCAAACTTAGTTCAGGGTTTCTTGTCATAAATCCCCGGAACCAATCTTTTCCTGCGCAGTTGTTGGAAGTCCAACAATCTGGAACCTTTTTGGAATTCATTGTTGCATATTCATATGCTAGCTGCATAGTCGCCTGTCTGGTTAATCCATAATTCATTTTGCTGCAAGCTATAAGATATTCAACAAGCGCCTTCTCTTCTTCGATTGTAAATATCATAGATGTTTTAAACTGGCTTCCTTGTTCACTTATTTTAGTCAATTTAGACCTGTCTCTTAAATAATTTCTTAAGGTATTTCTGTCAATTCCATATTCCAAAGCAACACCTCGGATAGACTTTCCTTGATCAATGTCACCTAAAGCATTTTTTATTACTGACAGATCTAAATTGCTTCTCTTTCTAGTTGTGTTTTTTTCTATAGTTGAAGGGCATTCTCTGAAATAAAATGAATAAAATTTATTGCGGGAGAAACGACCCTGACAGAGAGGGAGAGATTACCCTGGGTAAAGTCTCCTCCCAACTCCAGGGTAATGTCTCCCACTCCACGCCATACTATCAGTTATTAAATTTAAAAAAAAGCTATGACACTTGAATAAAAGCTGGCTGTCGTAAATATGACTAGAATAATTACACTTACGGTGTATATAAGTGGCGTGCTGGAATCTATCCACAGTAAAGAACAGAGATCAAATGTCGAAAACTGAATAAACTCACTTTCCAGGTACGAAAACGTGTTGCCACTTCTTACTTCCAAACCAAACTGCCGATTGTAACGGCGCTACGTGAGCGGGGTGGGAGGTGCCTATGACGTCAGAGAAGTATGGCAATGTCGTAACATCTCGTGCCACAAATATTCTATGAGCAGCGGCTATTGTCTCCCACCTGCTAGACTCTCCCGGACTCCCCCTACGTTTTGAACGTTTTAATTTGGTTACATATTTGCCTAGAAATCAAAAAATATACTAATCAATATTCTAAAAGCAATTTTAAGAGATATACGATTATTTTTAATTTAGGCTAATTTAAACGCCATTTTGAGATTATATTCGACTGTATTTCACCAAACATCAGGCGGCATCCGAAGCTGGAAATCGAAGCGAAAATTTTGAAACCCTTATGTATATTTACATCATTATACATTTCTTACCCCACCCCCACATGATCCTATATCCATCACCAATCGTATACACATCGAATTGTGCTAATTTACTACAAAGTTACGCAAAGCAGCATCTACTATCTAAAATATGTACTGCATGACTCTTAATACGTCCCTGCCGAATGTTACAGCGTTCGATGATCACGTGGTCTTGTTTATGTCCGGTCTATCTCTTATCTGAATATACTGTAGACTGATGTTTAAGCGAGGAGACTTGGGCGGTATTAACTGATGGGGCTTGTTGGCTACAGGTCGATGACCGTCCCTTCACATCCACCTCCCTTACTTTTTCGGATTGGCCGGATGAGGACTAGCACTTTCAGGACAACGTCTCCTAACGTACCCTATTTTTCCTCATTTCCAACATTCCAACTTGCTGTTCTGGCGGCGACGTTCACCATCAAGTTCCTTAACAATGCGCTTGACGGACTCTCCGAACTCGTTATCTCCTGGTACCATCTGGCGGACTCGGACCTTGCTTTTATTTGTGTTTTTAGCGGCTGCGAATTCTAATGCCCGAGTTAGCGCATTGACTAGCTTAGGTGGATGTGCTAGTAGTAAGGCTTGCCTCATTTCACCATCACGAAGTCCATCCAGGAATGCTGGAGCTGCCAATCGCTCCAATATCCTTTCCTGGACATCGGGATATGCTAATCGTACCAACCGCGCAATATCCGCTTCGAACTCGTGCAAGGACTGGCCTGACTTCTGAACTCGATTCTTTAGTTGACTATAGTAGACATGTTCTAAATGTGACTGGCCGTATCGCATCTCGCAGATGACCAGCTGACCCAACAGAAGCTCCAACCTCACTTGATTTTTCCAACGGAAGTCCATGCTGTCGTTCGTCCATGGTCTTGGCGTCAAAAGCGGCAAACTCGCCTTGCACTTCTTGAATTCTGTCCTCCAAAGTTTCTAAAATCCGTTCTTCCAACTCGAAAGTTTTTTCCATAATTTTATCTTCCAATTATTTTTTAAATGGGCGGTATTTTCCAAAAACTTCTCTTCTAATTTGGCTGTACATTCGTGTAACACCTAGTTTTCCTTCAAGATTGACACAATTTTCGACGAGTTTGTTTTCTAATTTGGTCGAGTTTCCTAAAATATCGGAACAATTTTCCACGAGCTTTCCTTCTAGGTTGGCACAGATTTCTAAAAGATCGGCACATTTTCCAGGAGCTTTTTTCTAACTTGGTCGAAAAGTTTTGCAGCACTGAAACAATATCCGGTAAAAATGAAAATACCCGGGTCCTCGCCTTCCTCGCACTCTCTTTCGTCCAGCTCTCTTTTTAAACCGGCAATTTTCTAATCAACCAATCGTGCCATTCTTCCTTCACTGATGGTCTGATTTATTTTCACTAAATGTCCAATAATCCACACCCCGCACCTGACACCAATGTAGCGTTTTTCTGGGTTCTTTTGGGTGTGGATTAAAACACTGGATTCCCCAAAAAGAAATGCAGTAATTTATTTAACTTGATAGAACATTTATGTATTCCACTCTTTATGTTTGGCTGTACTTTCCAAGAGTTTTCCTTCTAGGTTGGCACAATTTTCCAGGAGCTTTCCTTCTAGGTTGGCACAATTTTCCACGAGCTTTCCTTCTAGGTTGGCACAGTTTTTCACGAGCTTGTTTTCTAACTTGGTCGAAAGGTTTTACAGCATTAATCCAATAACCCCTGCACCGGTAAAAATGAAAATATCCGGGTCCTCACCTTCCTCAATCAGTGCTTGACGAAGCCGCTCCTGTAATTCTGCTTTCCTTCCGGCCGTGTTGCACTCTCTTTCCTCCAGCTCTCTCTTTAAATCGGCAATTTTCAAATCAACTAATCGCTCCATTCTTCCTTCACTGATCGTCCGATTTGTTTTCACTAAATGTTCAATAATCCACACCCTACACGTAGACCAATGTCGCGTTTTTCTGGGTTCTGAGTGTGGATTAAAACACTGGATTCCACAAAAAGAAATGCACTAATTTATTTAATTTGATAGAACATTTATGTACACTGACTAATTCTTATGTCGCCATTGACTGCAGTATACTCCACTCCGCTCTGCTACTCTACCGAATTCAGTACTTCCCTTCCATCTACCGGCCGCCAAGTTATATAGTCCACATCGTTGAGTCTAGAAGAATCAGGAGCCTTAAAATGGTTACTACCACGAAATTTCACTGAAATTTTTTCTAATTGTGGCACTGTTTCCTCCACAAAACTCAGGTTTTTGGGTTTCATTCTCTTTTCCGAAAAAAATCCGGACATTCCCACGTGTTCGCTGCTTATTATATCGCTCATAGTTTTTTTACTCCGAAGCAGCCGCGCAGGCAAAGCCTAAATGCCAGGGCAGCGTGACTGCTTATGAGGAGCTTGAAGAAATTTTGTCAATCCGATTTTTAAACTCCCTAAGATTGGTGGAACTGGGAAAGGCCTCCTTATCCCCCCACAATGTCGATATACTAGGAACATAGGAGCGGTCGTATCGGTCAGTTCTGGATGTACGAAGTTCGACACCTTTAGGATGGGAGGCCAAAGACAGGCGAGCCTATCTGACAGGCCATCGCGTGGTGGCATCATCAAGGAGACGTTTTAGGAGCAAAGCCTTTAGTTTAGCGGTAGAAGGAAGCTAGATCGCCGACGGCCCACCGGTGCGAAAGTATCCCCAGACTGTCCTTAGAGAAGAGTCATCGATCAGTAAATGTCTTTTGTGAAGCAATATTAGTCCTCAATATTAGAGATTTTTTCGCGAGATCCCGTAGTGAACCGGAGCGGGAACATATGGAATTTCCCCTTTCTCTCGAAGTTTTGACAGTTTCAAGTTACACCGGGAGTGGTTAGATGGCGCATGTTGCGCGAAATATTTGCTTTAAGCTCCTTGATAAACTTGGCTGCCTTGTTTGAATCTGAAATAAAAAGACGTATCGTTTTTTGTGCAATGCATATATACAGGGTGACTTCGAAGTTGAGTCATTTATTTTAACAGTGAGTAGATCTGATCAAAAGAAATATTTTTTTCCTTTACCATTTTTCTGGTAAAATTAAAGTAACAAAGTTATAGCCCTTTGGAAGTTTGAGTACCGCCCTGTCTCAATAATGATATTATGTTCTCGTGTTTGGCAACATCAGATATAATCCGCCTTATCCGTTCATCGCATCGGAAACAAAAAAGCGAAAGAATTTGGAACGATCTTTTTACAATTATTTTCTTCAGTTGTATACAGTCAGTATCAGTCGGTAGTCGGTAACGCGTAAGTGAATAATCGTGTCTGTTGCGAGGCTCAAATCAAAAATGGCACATGTTTACGAAAATGCTGAACTTGTGGACATGGTTCTTATTTACGGGGAGTCTTTACAAAATGCTGCCGCGGCATCACGGATCTATGCGGATCGGTTTCCCAATCGAGTGCAACCAACCCCTCGTGCCTTTGTTAATGTAGTGCAAAGAGCTCGTGAATCAGGTGACTTAAGACCTCACAGAGGAGATCATGCCGGTGCTCCAAGTCCACACGATCAAATAGAACTAGAAGAACAAATTTTAGAATTAGTAAGTGATGATCCAACAGTAAGCACCCGACAAATTTCAACTCAATTGGCGATTAGTCAGTATAAAACTTGGAAAACTCTACGTGAAAATCAGTTCTATCCGTTTCACATACAAAAAGTGCAGGCCTTACAACCGGAAGATCATGAACAAAGGGTTGACTTTTGCAATTGGCTTTTGAATAAACATCAAAATGATGACAATTTTTTAAATCAAATTTTAGAGAGTGATGAAGCCCTCTTTACTAGAAACGGAATTATTAATTCACGTAATTCTCACGTTTGGGCTATTGAAAATCCCCATGAAATAAGGGAAACCAATTTTCAACAGCGATTTGAAACAATCAACCTGTGGGCGGGAATTGTTAATGGAATTTTAGTGGGGCCTTTTGAATTACCAAATCGCTTAACTGGTGAAAATTATTTTGATTTCTTGCAACACAATTTGCCTGGTTTACTGGAAGATGTGCCTTTAAATATTAGACAAAACATGTGGTTTTTACAAGATGGGGCACCACCCCATTATGCAAGAAATGTGCGTGAATTTTTAAATAGACAATTTAATAATCGTTGGATCGGCCGTGGCGGTTTTGTACCTTGGCCGCCAAGCTCTCCGGACTTAAATCCTTTAGACTTTTGTTTGTGGGGTTGGCTAAAAACTCTAGTGTATAAAACACCGGTTAATACACGCGAAGAATTACGTGCTCGAATTGAGGAAATGAGTACAGTGATCAGAAATCAACCAGTGATTTTATTGCGTGCTTGTAAAGAGACATGGCTAAGACGCGCCCAGCTGTGCGTCGAGCAAAACGGAAATCATTTCGAACAGTTTTTGTGACATGCTTTTGGGCGCACAGGTCCGCACTGAAATACTTGTCGGGAGGATACTTTATAAAACAAGGTAACATTTTTTTTTTAATTTTTTTTTATTTTTACACACATTTTGGTTTATCTTCCTTCTACAATCATTATCTGAAAATTAATGACTCAACTTCAAAGTCACCCTGTATATCAATGAAATCAATCATTTGATATGACAAGCGCGGTTCATATATCTTCGATGACCTTCTCCCTCGTCATTTAAAATCAGGTGGACGTGTTCCTCCATTAATGATTTAACTCAATTTTCAGCACAGCGAAGGCAAATTTTCAAATGAGATGCCTGTTATTTAAATGATATTGACTTAAGACCTGTCACCCGCCAGTACCTCACAGACGTTAGGCGGGTATCCGTACCACGTGATTTTTTGATATTCGGACGACGTCACATCCGTCTTCGCCTATTCCCGTTCTTCGCGAAAATTTGAGCATCGGTTCCCGGTAGTGCACTGTGCTACACCGTGGACTCGCGAAAAAATCCTTATTAATCAAATCCAAGCGAATAACCAAAATTTCTGTGTTATGTACCGCGGTTATAATATGGTTCAAGATGACACACGGGTTGATGACGTCAGTTACACGAATCGCTTGAACGCGTTGGTTTTATCCGCGGTTTTGTTGCAAGTTGTTTATTTTAGAAAAGCGCGTATATAATCTCTGATTATTTTTATTATCACTCAATAATCGGTGCTTTTTCGTCTACAACTGTATATGGAAAGTTTAAATGAGAAACCTTTCATAATATTCTTGGGAGAAATGTTTTTTTCAGATTTTTTTTTTAATGATGGAACCATGGCTTTGTAGCTATGATAACTTTCAATTCTCTAAATTTTTCCGCATGTCAAAGAAAACATTGATTGATTCAGCAGAAACGATGAAAAAATAAATTAGCAAAACCGTATACAGGTGGATATCATCTAGTGAGTTTATATGGACATATTTTAATATTCTTGTGGTATATGGCTACACAGGATACTTTGTTAAGCATAGCAACTACATTTAAAGTGTCCCCAACAACCGTAATGAGTATAACTAATAAGGTGCTCCACTTTATGGTAAAACTGAAGTCAGCCTGTATCATTTTTCTCAAAAATGAAGCTGAAGTACAATAACAATATCCAATACCCGGCAAAATTCTAACTTGTCACATTTCAAATAATTACCAGAAATATAAAACTACTCTTGAGTTGGGTAAATAGGGGAGCGCGGGTAATGGGAGCGTTCGGGAAATGGGAGCTAGGGTGATTGAAAGGAATGTAGGCAACTTACGTGATTGGTAAACATTCGGCTGCTTCCGCCAACATTCGAGAAACTTCGCCTGACCGGTACGAGCCGTTAGCGCCATGACTTCAGTCACGAGGGACGGTTGTTTGTTTTTCGCTGCGTCCTTATAAAAAATTGTGGATTGCCAGCGACAAGGTAAGCATGAAGCTTGATTATTATTTTATTTTGTTTATAATCATAACATCCGTAGATTCATTTACTAACTAGTGCAATTTGTTTAATTATGATTGGAATTCGAATTACATTATTTATATTATTACTTTTCAAAATGGTGGTCAGCGGGAAATGGGAGCCTAGAATGGCTGTCACTACCCGACGTAGCTCCCACTACCCTACCAGCTTTTAAAATATATTTTCACACCATTTTACATACGTATTATGTTTTTTATTTCAGATGCCACTTAAAACAATTCGGAAAACCACGAAAGCTTCTTGGACCGCAGATACATTAGAAAATGCAGTCAATATCCTCAGAGCAGGAGACATTTCGGTGTACAAAGTATCTCAGCAAACTGGCATACCTTACAGCACTTTAAAGAAGAGATTTAATTTAGCGAAAGCTAACGACGATCGGTACAAAAAAAATCCTAAGTTGGGAAGATATCCAGTATTCAGTATTGAGCAAGAAAAAATACTGGCTAGTCATATTCAGACTATGTCAAATAAATTTTATGGACTGACGAGAGACCAATTCCGAAAAGTATGTTACGGTATAGCTAAAAGGATGGGTATTGAACAAAGGTTTAACCAAGCCAGTCAAATTGCGGGAAAAGACTGGCTGTTTGGATTTTTACAGCGACATTCTGAGTTTAGTATTAGAAAGGCCGAAGCAATTAGTATCAACAGAATTCTCGGATTTAACAAGACAGAATTAAGCTTTTTTTTGATAATTTGGATAAATTGATGACGCAACACCACTTCGAACCTACGATGATTTACAATGTAGACGAGACTGGTATAACGACCATCCAAGAGACTGAAAAAGTTATAGCTCCCAAAGGACAAAAACGCGTTGGATCTGTGACGTCATGGGAAAGAGGTAAGACTGTGACAGTTATATGTGCTATGAGTGCTTCAGGGTCTTTCATTCTACCGCTTTTCATATTTCCACGAAAACGTCACTCAGCACAGCTGGAAAAA